TATTAATCCAGAGGGAGGTTCCTCTAAAAGTTAACAGACATCGGCTGAGAGCATCTGCATTTCCAATGCATTTTCCGGGTCTGTATTTTATGTCATATTCAAAACATGCCAATTTAATAGAGACCATCGCAACATTCTGGGTGAAATCTGATCTGGAATAGGTTTATTCGGATTAAACAATCCGATTAGCGGCTTATGATCTGTAATGATACAAAACTTCCTTCCTAGTAAAAATTCATGAAATTTTGTAGCCTCGAAAATTATTGCTAAAGCTTCTTTATCAATCTGTCCATACCGTCGCTCGTGGGGTTGTAATGTTCTGGATGCCATCATCACGGTAGTTCTGATCCATCTTCCATCACATGGACAATTATTGCATCCACACCATATTCAGATGCATCACAGATTAACAGTAATTCTCTTTTTAAGTCATATCCCACTAAGGTTAAATAAGATGACAACAAATTCTTAGCTTTATCAAAGGCAACTTGCTCTAACGTACCCCATACCCACGGTTTCTTTGCTTCCAGCAATCGATACAATGGCTCCAGTATTGTGGCTTTGTCCATAATGAATTTTTCATAAAAATTGTGTAAACCTAAAACTGCCCGTAGTTCTTCTCTGTTCCTAGGTGCTGGTTTCTCCTTATCTCTTTCACTTTAATAGGTGACGGGTGCAGTCCCTCTTCATCAATCACCAACACATATTCGTTCAGATTTAACCTAAATCCCCTTGCATTTAGTTTAGTGATGACTGCCCGTAGTCTTTGATCATGTTCCTCCTTATTCTTTCCACCAACAGCGACGTCATCCAATAGACATGCTACTCCTTTTATACCTGTGAGTGCAGTCGACATCACACGCTGGAAGATTGCAGGAGCTGCGTTTACTCCAAATACCAACCGGTTCATCTTTATTAACACTAATGGAGAATTAAGTGTTAACAACGTAGCTGTGTCCTCGTCCACTTTCATCTGCATGTAAGCCGGTTTTAAGTCAAGCTTACTAAAAACTTTTCCACCACTTAATTTCACAAAGGACTCATTAGCAGCTGGTAATGGAAATGTATCCAGTCTCTATGACTAAATTAACAGTTGACCTGTAGTCACCACATATTCAAAGTAAACCGTCATCCTTTTATACAATTCTTAATGGAGTACCCATTTGGAGTATTTTACAGGGGTTAATAACCTTTCATTTATCATGAATGTTAATTGTTACTCAACTTGTTTTATCAGAGAAAACGGTATAGGATGTGCCTTCAAAAACCGTGACAAAGCATCAGGTCGCACTTTTAAGGACACTTGAGGACCCTTATATTCTCCAAGTGCTCCTTTAAATAACTCCAGAAATGATTTTAATAATTCATCATCTTTATCATCTATCCAGCATATGCCAGCTATCTCTAAGCCCATCATTTTAAACCAGTATCTTCTTAAAAGGCTAGGCCCACGACCAGAAACAACCAGTAACTCACATTGTGCTTCCTTGATGAGCTCGACCTAACACCTTCAGTTCATCATGGGTCCACATAACCAACTTCACCCCCGTCGCCTCTAAAGGTGGGGAAACAGACCACAGCTTATAGTATGTATCTTCAAACATGATTATCCTTGAAGCACCTGAGTCCACTTCCATGCTAACCTTCACACCATCGATAATAACATCTGCTTTAAATGGTGGTCGAATATTATCTGAGCAGACAAAGATACCCATCATCTGTTCAGATTATTCATTTTCTTTATCTGAAGTTGAACCAGGTGGAGCCTGGTGCATCTTGCCAGATTTCTTCATACAGAAATATGTTTTTTTTTATAGGATAGGGTGACAAACGAGCAGCACGCAGTCCACCTGATGGTAAGTGGTTGCTGTGGCCCATACACATCTACATCTAGCCTCGTTTGCGAATCAAAATGCAGATGCGTTGTCACCCGTGAGAACTAAGATGGAATGCTTCTTTTCCAGTAAAAAGGATCTCCGGTTCTCTACACTCACCATACGAAACACAGCAGTGTTAAGCTACTATTAGTACTAAATTTAATGTCTGTAAGACATTTTTTATAGAAACTGGGCTTTGATAGGAAAAATTATAAAGTTGGCAGAAATTCCAATCTCGAATCCATGGGCATATTTAAATGATATTTGCCAAATTAATTTTTACAGAGGTAATCAATACGAGCTATTTTATAAAACAAATTTCGATGTTGAAAACATTCACTGGATTTCTTAAGGATAAAGAATATTAAAAATGGAATACCTGCTTCCAACAAAATTTTACTTTCAGAGGTATTCTACTAAGATCTGAATGAAAAATTAAAATAATTAAGGAATTAGGGCCGCTCATGTCTGAAAACAAAAGTATTTTGTTGTTTTTGTATGGTTAAGGGTATTTTCACTTTTTTTAAAAGGCCAAGGGTAGCTTCAATCTCTATTTAGCTTTAAGATATCTGTGATACTTCTCTTTTGTAGTATTTCTTACAAGAAAGAAGCTGACAAAATGACTTAGTATGTTTGTAGTAGAGAAAAGTAAAATGGCCTTTAGCCTGCTTTTAGTAGTTAAGGATAAAGTATCTTTGTGTTCTTTTAATTTTTAGACATCTACAAAAGTGATTGTTGCTCAAATATTAATTATAGTAATTTAGTTAAACACTGATTAAAAACAATTTGTGAATAATTAATAATCAGTCAATTCAAAGTATAAATTAAATACAAAATAAAAAGTCAATTCAAAGTATAAATTAATTTATACTTTGAATTGACTGATTGCACATATAAATATATACAAATAGGTGACAGTTGAGTTATATCTGCTGACTTCCAAAAAGGAGACGGTACTCAATTCAACTGTATGTTTTTTTTATGTGTGTTACCTCATAACTTTGTACTGAGTGAACCGATTTCGATGATTCTTTTTTATATGAAAGCTGATACTTCTCGTGTGGTCCCATATGTATTTGATCAAGGTCAGACCAATAGTTTTTGAGTTATTCTTAATAATTTATATTGAAGTCGGCAGTACAAAATTTTAAATTTTAAATTATAGGTATAATTTTTGTTTAAATGCTGTGAAAGCAAATTTTAAACTATAATAGTTTTTAGGTTTATATTAATCATGTAATTTTTGTTCAAAACTTATGATAATTAAGAAAAACACTGAAGGGAAACTATTAATTTTGCTACAAAAATAATTAATAAGTAAATTATTACATTTTAGAGGTATATATTTTGTTTCAATGTTTTGAAAGTAATTTGTGTTCCTTTAAGTTTTTTGTTTTGTGATTATTAGTCATACCCTGATGTGAAAGTATTTGTAAATACTTAGTTTCTTTACTTTTCTTAATAAATTAAATTTTAAGTTCTTTTTTTGTCTTTTTTTATTTAGCATGTCTTGAAACAGGTGTATTTTAAAGAGTGATGTTATGAATGTTACATAATGCAACAGTACATTTAGATAATTCTAACACAATGCATTTAATATTTTAAAAAAAATTGTCTCATGAATGTTATCACACTCGTAAGTTTCTCCACCTTTTTATCATAGTAAGTCTTGTATGATACTCCTTTAAAACCATTACTCAAGAGTTGCAGGTTGTTATTTTAGTACCTCATTACCAATGTATGTACTTACTAAGAAGAAAAGTAGTAAATTACCATTAGTGTCCTTTCAACTTTTTTTAACAAATTACCTTTCCAAAATATGTAAAAATGTTAAATGAATGTAATGGTTTTTTTATTTACCATACTCAGTTGGAAAGACTGAAATGGTTATATACGTTTCTCCTTCGAAGTTTTTGAATTGCTGGGTGTATTTTTAAGCTAAGATGAAGAGATAAACTCGTTTTATTTAAATAAATAAACAAATTATCAAAAAAATAAGTTTGTTTTTAAAATCTGCATATCGCTACCTATCAATTTCAATTTTTACTCCCATTTCACATTTTTGTTAGTTATGTCCTTCTTTATTATGGCTGCAGAATATTTCATTTCAGTTTTTGAGTAATAAAAGTCACAACAGCAGACTCTGCATAGTGAGAAAACAGTACATTTCTTATTGGAATACAGTTTCTTATTAGAAAATATTACTTTAAAAATGTAAAACTGAACTTAGAGAACTAAAAAAATGTATTTTTAATAGCTTTGCAAGTTGGAACTAAGACAGTGCTTATGACAAGCTAATTACATATTATGTAGAAAATATTTTGTTTATTTATTTACTCTTTATTGTACACCAAAAACAAAACAAAAACGAATACAATTAAATCTAAATTAGAAAATGTACAACAGGCGGTCTTATCACTCTGAAAGTGATTTCTTCCAGACAACCTTAGTGTAGAGAACTGATGTAAACAATAGTTAAAAATAGAGGGGGCGTACAAAATAAAAATAAAAAATATAAAATACATACAAATAAAGGCAAGTGAAGATTATGTATGATATAATATAATAGATTAAATGAAAAGAGTACGAAAAAGGAAAAGTGATTTATCTAATAGCGTTCTAAGTAATACGATTTAACAAGACATTTGAAAGAATGAAGAGATTTGTTCTTGTTAGTTATGAATTTAAAGATGATTTTAATTTTATTTTTATAATTTTATTTTAAATTTTGGAAGCTATACTACCACTACATCAAGAAAGCAACTAGAATGTTGTCTAAATAGTCTCATTAAAAAAATAGAGTTAATAATATTTATAATTTTTTAATTTTTTTTTTAATTTGGCTATTTGATAAAAACATAATCATTAAAATCGGTTTTCATTTGACGAAGATATGTACGTAATTTACTTAAATGAAGAAAATAAACAGTCGAATATTGAAGTGTTCTTTTTTTAATACAGCTAAAAACTTCTAACCTATTATTTACTATTACCACACAAACCAGCGGTTCGCACACAACGCATAGGAATAATAAAACATTGCAATGCCGGCGCATTCTCCTATTAGGGCAAATAACTGTACATTTTTACTAACTGCACAATTTAAACATCTATGTAACTTACCGGTGTTTAGAGTTGGATAAACGTTTCTGTGGAACTTGTAATAACTTTTTTGAGCATCAGATTGAATTATTTCATTAGTATCAGTGCCGACGTGTGCGCTAGACCAGTTATGAATAGCATATATCAAGACCAACAATAACAGGCAGATTCCTGCTATGCGAAAAATTCTACCTCGTCTTAAGTTTGTAATTCTCATTTTTGTATTTTAACTGTATTTGTCTTTTACATTACAAACTCAAATTTATTATTGAAAAAACCTATATTCTTAGTTTGTGACGAGTACACTCGATGACGTTTATTGTTGCTTTTACTTTGAAGTTTGAAGTTTGGAGCTTACAACAATTACAGTTGACATTGACAACGTCAACTTTTGCACTCCGTTCTAATTCCGTTTTGTTTTTTTTTTTTGCTTTGTTACGGAACTGAAATCATAAGCTTCAATCACGGAACTAATGAGACTTATTTTACTACTAATTAAAGGTTATTAATTATTGATGACATACGTAATATACGAAAATCTATTTTCAATCATGTATGTAAGATGTGATAACGATGTTTGTTTTTATATACCTTAAGTTACTAATTTACGGTAGGCCTAACTTTACTGCTTGGTTAAGTTGACATCCAAATCTCATAACGTAGCCAATGTAAATTTAGGCTGTATGGTCAATGACCTCAGGCTGCTTTAATTAATCAACCCAGCCAAACCAAGGAGGTGCGCTAGCACTTCTTAATAGTTTGTGGTATAGACTCTCCGCTTGGAGTAAAGTATTCTGTGGTATAGACCACCTAACATAACGCGTGAAAACGCGTGACCAATTTTGATTTGTTATTGTGTGTGTTAGCTAGTGATGTATATTTTACTTACAAGGACTATCAAAAATGATTGTTAAGGAAGCGGTAAAAAGATTTAAAAAAAGTGTTTAGTGCATGAAGTTGTGAAAAATTTACTGAATTTTACCATGATAGTTCCAAAATAATTAAAAAGTATTTATATAACATGTTCCTGGTAATAAGCAGAACCTACCTGCCTTTTGTTGGATTTCAATTAATTATGTATAAAATCCCAGGTGACTTTACCGATAAACTTAGAAAACTCCCCAATAATCAGATCGGAAAGTTGAATTTTCGAGATATGATTTTGGGGAAAGATATTTCCTGCCGTGGGCAGTAAATATTTTTAGGTTTCCCCGGAATTTCTTTTTTATTGTTATTATAAATAGGTAGATACTTAACTAAGTATATACCATAGAGTTAGTATCTTATAGACTAAACATTCGGTGACGTCATCAGCGTGTAAAAGGAATGCACGTATATAGTTCGACATAAGAGTAAGGGAGAAGCAAAACGATATTTCTTGTCTTTTTCTAGGTATGTGTTTTTGATTGTTTTCCCTCCTTTATTTGACATAAACGATGTCAAGCTTTAGTGAATAACATTGATATTATAAGCAAAAACTGGAAATTAAATTTAGTGTTTTTTGTGAGTTTTAGTAATTAGTTAAGGTGAAAAAGATTGTAAGTTGTAGCATTTTAGGATGCAACAGCATCAGTCAACGAAAAATTGATAATACTACCTTTCATCGGTAAGTTTGTTTTGTACTTACATTTGCTGCCTGTACTGATTAATATCTATTGTTTTGAATATAAAGTGTAACATTTCATGTTTTTAATGAACTTTGTGATGTATTTTGTCAAATATTTGGACTCCCAAATTGTAAATTCTTCATGATAATGCTACTTAATTTGAACGGTCATTCGAAAGTTTAAAATCATAACAAACGTGTATTTTTTGATTTTGGTAGGATTATGGAAACTTTAGGGATATCAGCGAGTACAATAATGTTTTCCCATTGTTCAATAATGATTGTTATTTTGATTAGTAGTTATGTCCATAAATATAAATATGACATACACTTTTATGTTCAGCTTTAAATGAAACTCTCCTTATTGCTCTACAACTATTCAATCATTTTCTATATTACATAGAAGTCACCAATAATATGTAAAAATCAACCTGAAAACATGCTTGGGTTCAAGTACATAAATATTGGGCAAAGTATATTTAATTTCATAAAATATGTATTGCCTGAAATCAGATGCACAAAACTATATTTCATTCCATTAATTCTATTATACATTAGCAACAATTACATTACAATATTTATTATAAAAATATGTCATACTTATATAAAAATAAATATAAATGTAGATAAAATAATAAATATATAAATAAGTCTTAAACTTAAAAAAGTTACCAAAAGTCAAAAGGCTTTGTGATAGTTGCCTAGCTTGGCAGGAGGATTGACAACTGATATTTTGCTGACAAACTATGTGGGAGGTCTATGTTTAGCTGTGGAGGACATTTGTTAGGCTGTAAATGTATTAACAATATATATAGCTTAATATGTACATAACTTTTTTAAAATATTTGGCATGAATAATTTTATCATTACATTTTCATATACCTGCTATTTAATTAAATCAATTGATATTGTATTAATTGTTACAGGTATTGTATTTATGCACAGATACTCATACTTGAATTTTATTTGGAAAATACCTTGATATAAAAGTGTACTAAATATTTAATATATTAATTTCTTTTAAATATATTATCTTACAGCTTTCCTAAGGAATCAGCTATCCGTAATTGTTGGATAATCGCTACTGGTCGTGACTATAGTTAACCAACAAAACTTAGCAGTGTATGCTCAAAACATTTTGAGCCTTATTGTTTTAGGCAGACTAAATATACTTAATTTATGTAATTTATAATATAATTAAGATAAAATTTATAAAATGTTATAATTTCTTGTTGTGTGTTGTTGTTTCTCCAAATATGTATAAGTTTGACCTTGTTAGTAGTTATGATTTTTGATATTGTTCTGTATGTATTAAAAATTGACTAGCATTGCTTAATTTATTTATGGTTCTTGACATTTTATTTTCAAATGCTGACATTTGTATTATTATGACTTCTAGTAATTTTATTGTAATTTATATTTATTTGATTATCTTTGTGTAATTTGATTGCATAACAATGACAAAATATTTACTTATAGATAGATTGATTAAACATGAATCCTCATTTACAAATGTAGGAACTTTATCTGTACTACCATGTTTTATTCAAGTAAAGATTTAAATAAAATAAATAAAGAAATAATTTTAAGTCCTGACCTAAATATGCAAATGAATAATTTATTATGCAATAATAATTGTAAAACTAACTCTGCGAATGCCTACCAATGAGATATTTAGTCCACCCTTAATCCCTTTTATAAAGGTGTTATAAACAATAATGAGTAAATAAATTAAGCAATAAACGTAATAATTATGATAATTTCCATTTAATTGACATAAATAATGTAATAAAGATGTTTTTAACAAGAGATAGGTATTACCTATCTAGGTATAGTTTAGGAGTTGTACCTTCATATTTATACCACTAAAATATATTATACACAAGGTATATAATATAGAATACTTCCTTCTGATCCGATTCTAACAACCAGCACCCAAGAAATTCTGCCATGCAAATGTATAAATCAAGTTTATAAATGCATATTTTTGAGAAATTCTAAAGCTGCTCAAACGAAGAATTACAACGAATGCTCTAAAAAGAAGACAAACATTTTCTTAATTTTGTTGTTTATTAATATGATGAAAAATTAATAAATAATCGCTTGTTTATTTTAATTTTTTTGGATTATATTTAATATATAATTGTGTTTTCATTTGTTTTACTTAATGTAATATTGCTAATATTTCTAAATGTTGTCAAATTACATAAAATTTAGTTCTTTTTCCTGTTTAAATTTCAATATATTTTCATTTAAATAGAATATATATCTTTACAGTCTATCAAAAGTCCACTGCTGAACATAAACATGAACATAGTTATTTGCCATAGTTGTAACGCTGGGCAAGCGGGTTGGCAACCACTGTTTGTTTTAGCTGTTATCTAGAAAATGCTGCTGTTTATCTTCTTTTTTTCCCTATGTCGCCTCATACACCACCCATGGAATGATCAGTGGCAGATAATCTGGCACTGCATGGTAAATTAAAACAGAATATTATAAAACATTCGTTTTTATTTTATGTACCAATATATAACAAAAACAAACCATTTGTTGATGTTTAACAACGTATATTAACTAAAACATTTTACCACCTTAACCATTAGGTAACATGATTAACACCCGTATTCAAGAACCACTCTTATTTAAGTGTACTGGCTCTCACTGCGAAGTGTCCGATTTCTCACAGTGTTGGATATGTCCATCGACTTGTTTCATAGACAACACTTAAGTATTTCTTTACTCAGTGAATGCATAGGGAAGGATTCGGCGTTTTGATTGGTCGGTTTCGGGGGTAGCTTCAAGTTATTCAATTTTCAAGCGTCAAATGTCAATTAGTACATAACCTCATCCTCAATTAATGTGTTGATTTTTGCAAACTGGCTTGTGTTAGATACGATACGCTATTTGAAGTAAAATTTAGCTTAAATACCAAGTAGAATTTTTGTGATAATGGAAATAATATCTCCGGCTAACAGTGCTAAATGGTAACTCAAATATTTTTCCTCAGTAATGTTTATTTTGTGTTAGTTTTTTGATAATTCATTCAACATACATTATTTTAATTTTTAGCTCAAAAAAAAATAGCTTTTTCCTCCGCCGAAAAAGAACTAATCATAAGTTTGGTAAGTGAACGTCCCATTATTGAAAACAAACAGACAATAGCCCGAAACATTGAGCTCAAGAGGGCGGCATGGGACGAAATTGAAAATGCCTACAATGCAGTACCTTTTGTGGTCAAGAGAACGGCATTACAGCTAAAGAGATGCTGGCAAAACATAAAAAGTTGTCGTAAGAAGGAGCTGTCAATGGAAGTCGGCAGTTTATTACAGACTGGAGGTGGAGTTGGTGAAGCGGGCACTACAGAAAACGTCATAGACAGTATTTGCCCATACATAAATCTGACCGTACCTGGAGTCATTGACTCAAACACAGAAGAGAAAGTCCTAGGTAAAAGATTTGTTACATAATTATCATAATTAAGGATGAAGCTTTATTTCTTGTTTTGTTTACATCACTACTCTATACAAAGGTTGCATTTTACTTACTATTAAACAGCAGAGTTATATTGTAAATTAGAAATGGAATTTTTTGAAATTTAAGCAACATTATTG